CTGCTGAATCAGACAGATCAATTTTTTCTGATGCTTTGCCTGTTTTTGAAAGGATTTTTTTTTCAATGCAAGTTTTTTTAGAACAGAATCTCATTCATACTATGCATCTATTTTATATCCTATATTGCTGTTAGTTTCCCCTGATTACTTCCAAGTAGATTACTAGAGAAGGCTTTCCTTAAAACAAAGAAAATTGGAAGTGAGGAAATTCAGTCAATAGACTGAAAGTATATCAGCTTTGATTGGCTTATGTAGTGTAAAAGGAAGCCTTCTATCCACTAGAATGTCCGCATTAATGTTGACATGCGGTTGTCTGATGTCTTTTACTTCACAGAAATTAAAGGCTTATTGACAGCTCTTTTTGGATGGTTTCAAGGAAAATCAAATGCCTCTAAATACAGGGGTTAACATCTTCAAAAACAAGAACCTGAATGCTATTACACTCTTTTATAGTGCACACCACTGCACTTTCTGATGAAAATCAGAAGAAAAAATACTGAATAATTAATGTTCTTTTTTTTGTTTAATATTAATTGGGTCCATGGTACTTATTTACCTTATCTATATTAATAATATATCTCTTTCACTGCACATATAGTACCTGGAATAGTTATAGCTATTTTCTTGAAGAACCATTTCGGTGACTCCTTTGTAATTCTAAATTTCTAAGACAGACTTTTTCAGTACACAGATGGTATAGAGTAATTGTAATTCATAATTTAGTCAACCCTGTTTTTTAGACACTGCTATATGTACACAGTGCACTAGCTTACACACACCCACCCCCAATTTTACCTTCTTTTAATTAAGATCTCCTGTATTGTATCTCTGTTCTATATATGATAGCCTCATTTCACCGTCCCTCAGCATTTTTCACCGTCCCTCAGTCCATATTCAGTGGACTGTTTTGGAAGGCCACGCTTAAAAACCTGCAGATTATATGGGGTTTTTTTCCTAATTTCATGCTGTAATTTAGAGTGAAAAAGAGTCAAAGCCAAAGTCAAACCTTTGAATTTTTTGTTGTCATCATTGCTATTGTTGCTGCTACTTTATGTTGTTTGGGGATTCATGGTTTATTGTTTCCATGTTGTCACAGGAGTGATTATCTAGTGGTTAATTCCCTTGGGAATTCTGGGAATCCTGAGTGTAGCTTTCTGTTTTCTTCATACACGTTTTATGTATCAGGGTAGGTACTTAAATTTCAAGGGTCGGTTCTCTATCAGCAAAATAAAAAAATAGTGCTGCCCTAGCTTACTTGTGGTTATAAGCAAACTGAAGATGGTATAGTGCTTAGATGATGCAGTCCTAAGTACTATGCTACTGCCTGGGTCTTACCTGTTGATGCTAAAGTCATAAAAATTAGAAAATGCATGTGGTTTTAACTTGTGTAAGGAGAAATTTAAGAACCTAAAGTCTACCTAAATCCTTGTTCTTCATCCATGTTAGGATTAGGTACCTTTGAAAGAATTTCTGTCCGCATTAGTGCGTGAAGCAGAGGCAAGTAGACTTGCTCCATTAACGGGCATACTCACTTTGATACTTCTTCATTAGGGCATTTTATCAGTGAATTCTCACCAAGGAAGCTGGTAGGTGAACTGATGCAGACATTTGAACATCAAAATCCCTAGTTTAGTCAGGTCTTCATTTTTAAAAAGTACCACACTGGCTTGCATTTCTTCTTGAACTGCACAAGAGGGGTTGTGGAACATACATCCGAGAGCAGAGCAGCCATAGAGAGATCCCCCGCGCTCGGGGTAGGCACATGAGGTGGTGCCAGCAGTCTGCACTAGCAGAGCTCGAGCTGGCTGTCTTCTGGCTAGGTATCGTCTTTGAAGTTCTGAAGAGACTATGTGTCTTTGAAGACAGTTTAATACATTTCCCTCTTCCTCAAACAGAGCTTTTTCCTTTAAGCATTCCACTTCCCTATTTCCATGATAAAGCCTTTCAGTAATAAGAATGTTATTTTTCTACCTGAGATGGAGCTGTTTCTCTGTTGGTTCCTTGTCTGGGTGCTGGTAAGGTAGTTTTAGTTATTTCTTATTATCTTTTTGCTGAAAGGTTGGATCGTTTTGATCCATGAACTAATTAAGAAATTGCATTTCAAATGAAAAGTGAACTTTCTAGATGGATAGCAAAAAACTCCTTATCCAAAAGAAACTGAAGCATTACAATCACCTAGCAAGAGTTTATATTTGAAAAATTCATCTTCTTTTAAAATGATGAGAGAGACTTTCAGAGTTTCCTTTTCTTCAGCGAAATAGATGCCAAGATATCCAGTGATTATACTGTTTGGAAAGAAGGACAGGGAAAAAAGGTCAACTCCCCTTTCTTTCTAACAGTCATTCCTGTGAATTAAGAGCGTTACAGTGCAGCCAAGACATGGATCAGCGTTTTCAAAATGGCCCGTGTTACATGTGCATAAATAGTCTTTGGTGCAGCTGTTCCCTGACCAGCCAGCATCCAACGTGGAGATTTCACAATACTGTTTTGTATGTTTGACCTTGTCTGTTTTGCGCATTATGTTCTGGTTCAAAGAATGTAAGTTCTCTGGGACAAATGCTTTCATGTCCATCAGTACAGAGTCTATCAGAGTTGGATCCTGGCTCACAACTGGGGATCTGAGCTCTATTGTGATATAAATAATAAGCTTAATGCTTAATGAACTTGTGGGAGAAAGATACCTTTGTTAATTATTCAATAGCCTTATGTCTTCAAATAAGATGCAGTAAAGCTCCCAGTAAATATCCGAAACTTCAACAAGGTTTCTGGTAATGCTGAAGTAGAGCAGAGGCAACATACCTTACCTGTTGAAGAAAAAGGTGAGCAGGAAAAAACAGGAATCATCATTTGCCTCACTGCCCAGAAGGTGGTGGGGGGAGTGAGGCTGGCTGTGAAACAACGAAGCATCAGAATGGAGAAGCAGCAGTACTCCTTTAAAG